CCCGACGGGCGCCCGCGGAAAGCTGAGTTCTGGCGCGTGGATCTTCGCATGCAGGGTGCCAGGCCGGGCGCCGGCGCTGCCTCTTCGTCCAAGGCCCGCGCTGGCTCTGGTGGGACGCCCCGGACCCGGACGCAGAGCTGGTGCTGCACTCACACCTCGATGATATTGACCGAGGGAGACTTCTTCTATGAGAGAGAAATCTGCGTTAAGGCCCCGCTTTGGGATGAAGACCCCACGGCGCGCACAGGCACAGCCCTTGCCCACTGCTGCAGCACGGACCCAGCTCCAGTTGCCTCCTCCAGCCACTGAGGGAGCTCACCCCAAACCCTTCCCTGGCAGAGGGGGGCAGACAGCTCAGCTGCATCCCCTGCTGCCCTCCTCGACCACCACAGTGAGAGAAGGGGCCCTGGCTGCTGCACGTTCCGTAGCTCAGCCCTTGCACACTGAGCAACCCCATGGCCAAGCTTTGTAACAGGGCTCAGATCAAGAGCTGCATCGCTGTCTGCTGCTTTACAGCAGCTTGGCCCTGAAGCCAGGAGGGGAAGCGAATGCAGAGCTTTTTCCTTCCTATACCTTGTTCCCGGCTTTGTAATTAAGGACTGCAAGAGTAAACCTGCAGTGTTGACACCCGCAAGGGTGCCAAGAGAATGGTGAATGCAGAAGGACCAAGGGAAGGACCATGAGCAGGGTCAATCTGGGGCACGGATCCAAAGAGGGGGAGCTTTTTGGCAAGGGGTAATCAGGCAGCTGGAAAATCTGGAGGAGAACTGGGGCACTGGAGTCCAAACAGGACATTTCTGCCTCTGACATCCACTGGAAACCAAGGTGAGGAGCGGAGGGCAGTCAGGCACCACGGTGAGCAGCATTCCCTCTGTCATAGGGGAGGCAATGAGACACAAGGGAAAACCCGATACAAGATCTTGTGATAGCACCAGGGTCACAAATCACCGCCTTTGTCAAATAACTCAGGGAGAAGCTCTCAGCCAAAGGAAAGTGCTGCACCCTCCCTGTTCACAGCCCGGCACAGCATCACCGTTGGGGTGGGGAAGGGGCTCTGGGGCCCTTCCTATGAACTGGTGTGGTTCTGCCCAGCGAAGGCAGAAAATGGGCAGCGACAGAGCAGTGCAGGACCACGGCTGCCCAGCCTGTCCCCCTCCTGACCATGGGACACAGAGGTGCAGCCGTGGCGGGGCAGGGTGAAGGAGGTACCCCCGCACTGCAGGACCATCCCAGCTGAGGTACCCAGCTGCCTCTTCCAGCAGTCACCCACAGGGGACACGCGTTGCCCCAGAGACCAGGGCTCACCGCACACTAAAACCCCTCAGTTTTTAGGGTGAGAGCACGAGCTGGGGTGTTTCTGGAGACAGAACCCGCGCAGGCAGCGAGGCACAGCGGCGTCTCGCACGATCCCTGCCCGCCCTCCCCTCTCACCTTGCTCCGCAGCAGCCCCCCGCTCGGCCGCTCGGGCGTGCTGTGCTCCGAGGATGGCTTCGTCTTCTCCTTGTTGTTGTTGGAGTCGTTGTCCTTGATGATGTCGTACTGTCTGCAGAACAGGGCGATCACCGCTGCCAAAGACAGGGGGTGAAGGACCCTGCACAACGGCTGCGCTCAGCCCCCCAACCCCACAGCATCCCAGCTGGAGAGCACTCAGGGCAGGGCACCCAGGGGTGCTGGGCACCCACATCGCCACCCCAGACCACCCAGCACCTCTGTGTGCACGGCCAGGCCGGTCTCCTTGGGGAGACGAGGCCAAGATGCGGCTGAAGCCACGGGGGGCCGGGGAGGC